CTATTTTAAAGAAAAAAATTACATGTTAGAGAACATATAAACCAGAAGTGTATAGTTATAATTAGCTTTTTTGAGCTATTTGCTTTGAGAACTTAGTAAAATATAAATTAAATACCAAAGTAGTAGAGATATGTTGTGAAGTCAGTATCAGAGTTAAAGTAAATTCTACAAAGGCATAACAGTTTAATAATACATTCTAACTGTAAGTATTGATTTCAGCTATAATAATATCAGATTAGTTATAAAAATAAGATACAGAAGATTCTGAAAGGTTTAGTACAAGATCAAAGGTTCTTCATATGAGTGAACTACTTTAAAGACTTAGTAATCATAATATATTTTCACTAACATTAGTTAGAATTATTGATAAGTAGAAGTAAATGAATTAATATAAAAACTAAAGTGTTTAAATAAGAAACTTATAAGCAAGTTCAAAATATAACAATTAATGTAGAACCTTTAAGCAGATTCTTAAATTAGATAATAACTAAAGTTGTATAAATAACTAGTTGTATACTTTTTTCATAGTTATCTTCTATGATTGTAATGCAACTATTAGTCAAATATATTATTAATAAAATCCTAAATTACAAATATTTATCTTAATATTTAAAAAAAAATTTTTTTACAAAAACAAATCTTTATTAATAGTCTATAAAATAAGTAAATAAAATCTTCTGAATTTTACTAACAAGTATTATACTCTAAAATATATAGTATAACAATTTAAAAATTAGGTTTAAAAAAAAAAGTACTATGCTTCTTAGATATATGCTAATTAAATATATATAAGAAAATATAATAGTAATTAAATAATTAATAACAGATATTTAAAAAGTTTAAATAAATAATCTCTTAATAGATTATAAATATAACATTTGAAGATAATGATCCTAATGCAATAGTTAGATTGTTATCCTTCAAGTAACAGATTTAAAGTTCAATTTCTACTTATAACAAAATTTAAAAATTATATCTATATTATGATAACTATCTTTTGTTGATCAGTTGACCTTATACAACTGTAACTCAGATACACCAAGTCAGGTTCTACTAAAATTAGAAGCTTGAGGCATCTATATGAAGTGTAATATTATATATATATAAAGAAATATATAACTAATATTGTATAAGACTTCGATACAACCTATGATAAGACCACTAAGTATAGAAGATTAAGGAACCAAGATCTGAATAAAGAGATAATATGAACTTTTAACAATATCATTAGACCAGTTGAAGCTCATGAAACATCTTTATAGAAACCAAAAATTAAAACCAGATGATAAATATATGTAAAAAAGCATATAACTAGTCAGACTGCTAAACTTATCAGAAAAAAAGAATACAAAAGTATATTATATTAGGTCATCTAGATTGGTAATCTAAAATAAAACTGATAGTTCTGAGTTGTGACTAGTAAAAAATGATTATGAAGATACCAGAAAGATAGGTATTAGAATTCTAGTAAACTTTATAAGAATAAAAATAATGTAATATAATGATTAAACAAGTAATTCTTATAACTGCAAGTGTTAGATAATTATAACATGTTGCATAAAACTAGATCAGTATGTATAGAATATAAAGACTCTAGTAAGTTTTCTGTTAAGGATAAAATAGTCTTAAGGATACTGATCAATATCGAAAACTTGAATAGATATAATCTTGAAAATGTTCTCATGATACAAGGAAAATTGTATATGCAGAGAATTTAAATAGACAAGACCTCTAGTTAACTTGCAGGTATAATATCTAGTATAGAACTTATATAGTAATATATAAACGAATTTTTAAATTAGACATCAAAAATGTATATGTGACTAGTTATAACCTTCAATGTAAAGTAGCCTTTGATGGCATACCATGTTCTATATACTTAAATAAAAATATATCTCAAAAATAGAAACTTTAACATTAAAAAAAAATAAATAAATACAATATTTAATATAAAATCCTAGAACAGACTACTTAAAATAGGCAACCAAAAGTTACATATGCAACTAGCTGTATCTTCATCTCTGTAAAATAATTATAAACTAACATTATATATGTTAATAAAATAATCATCATAAAGTAAAATCTTTAAAAATAATATAAAAAAAAATAAATAAAAAATATGTATTATTTTTGACATTTTATATCCAATTAAAAAATATAATAAAAAACTAAGAATTTATTATGAATAAAGAAATTAAAAATATAAAAGAATATAATTTTGTCATAAATAAAACAACCTATTAGTTTTTCTTCTATAGTAATAATTCATATCAAATTTTAATGATTAGTAAATCTTAACCTAATCTAAATATTAAACCGATATATAAGCACATCAATATAAACATATCCTGTTGAATTAACTAACCTACGATCATTAACCCAAGTTTTTTAAAGATAAATTCATACGTATATACATACATTATGAAGTAGAAGTTAAAAACCTAAGTCCTTATTAGAAGTGTTGGTTTTGACACTTGATCTGTAAAATCCGTTTGCATTATTATTGTTTCTTGTCCCTATGTTCCTTCTAGACCCGTTGCTTATAATATGTATGTACGTAAGTCAAATAAAGAGAGTAATGGTAACACTTAGTAAATCTATTTTATATAAAATGTGAAGTCACGTTATACTACTTATCTATCAACATGATCCATCGATCTGCAGCTACAGTCGGAAATAAGGATGTTAATCGGTCTTTTGGAATCGAATCCTAACCGGTCCTTATAAGGACCTGCAGGATCGGTAAGGATTCGGTCCTTAAATCACATGAAAACACAATACATTTTATAGGACTTGGAATTATGATAACAATACAAAATTAATTTGATTGGATGAACTTATTCGATAGATTCAATTCAGGATCTGATACAGGATCTAAGTCCTATAAAATGTATTGTATTTTCATGTGATTTAAAGGATCGGACCGGACTGGATTCGCAATTTAACATCCCTAGTCGGGAAGGATCTATGATCACGTGATAGTGACATTTTTCTGACAAGACTAGTCTACTAGGTTACTATTGGTAAAAAATTTATGCATTCTGATTGGCTATTTGAAATAGTTTGGAGTTTGATATCATGTGTAAAATCGCGAACTAGTTCTCAAAGTTTTGTTTCTTATCGCTTATATATTCCATCCGCTACTTTTTTGCACGTTTTACACAGTATAAATGTGAATGATGATTACATTTGTCACAAACCTTATATCCGTTCGTATATATGATGACTTTTTTTCTTTCCCAAATGGTTTCATGCAGGGAGGTCACCGGATTTCCGGGTCGGAATATCTCGAAATAGTGATCGGAAGGGCCGGAATTAACTAATTTGCCCAAGATCATTACTAACTCATCATTAAGTAAAGTTGCCCAGCTGAAAATTTTGGCCTAGAAATGGTTGACTTGTGTTGCTAAATGCCGTACTAAATCCGATGGAACCGACTCGGATCCTCCTCATAGGTCTGATTGGCTAATAAATACAAATTAATTTTACATCGTTATCGTTATTTATAAAGTTTGGAGTACTTTTTTAAAAAAACGAAAACTAATCATAAATGAAATAAAAAAGCTGTATAGAAGGTTTCATTAGAGCTGTAGGACTCCATAGCCAAAAATATGATCTGATTAAAAAAGTTAGTATAGTAATAACTTCTCAAAACCAATTTATTACTAAGCTAATTTTTTTAAACGGACGAGAATTAGATTTTATTTTTGACTAGAGTCCTATAGAGTCCGAAAGTTTTAATGAAACTTTCTATGCAGTGTTTTTTTTTACTTTGTTATGGTTGGTTTTCGTTTTTTTAAAAGTACTCTAAACTGTATAAATAATGTAAAATTAAATTGAATTTATTAGCCAATCAGACAAACTTCTGCCTATGACATTGATTCCTCTTCTTCATGCTCCGGACTTATATCGGCTTCCGATTCCTAGTATGTACAATTGTTTTGGTCTGAATTGTACATATAGAGCTTTACATGTCCGTCCAATTTGCACAATTTTTATATATCCAATCCGCCCAATTGCCAACTCTGGTCTCAAAATGGTCATTATGTTGGGTTGAGAAAGTGATTATAAAGGCGATAAACTTCAGAAATAAACATCAGAAATGTGTTAAGACTTTATCTTAAGCTACCTCATTAAAAAATCAAGTAAACGACATATATGTAATATGTCATTAAAATCTCTATTGTCTCATTTTCAGGCTAAGCTTAATGAATTATAAAACTTCAAGTCTAAAATGGTTCACCAAATCAGTTGTCTATATGTTAAGTATAAGAAAAAAATATTCCAATTTCAATTATGCTATTTCAACTAATATAACACTAATTAATTAGCCAGTTTTTGGACGATATACATACGTATATAGATATAAAATACCATAAATACATTTTTAACCATTTTTATTTCTAAATAAATACATAACGATAATTAATTGATTAATTTATTATTGAGGTTGTTGATGAATTGAATTGAAATTAATTTCAATCCAAACCAGCTTGGAGTATTAAGTTCTAATATTAGTTTAATATTCAGTTTGCAAAACTGGTTTGAATATTCCATTTGATATATTGACAACACTCTAGTCTGGTTTGAAGTATACAGAGTATGATACCCTAATTACCAACCCTATTCATTAGTTGCAATTAAGTAGTTCTCCAATCGATTAATTGATTAGTTGGCGTTTAAACAATTCAATAGATTAGTTGTAAACTAAGCTAAACGAAACGACTTTTCAGCCTTCGAGTTGTAACACTATTTTAAACTCGGGTAATAATTATAGGAAAAACTAGGTTTCATGTTTATAGAATGTGCCGCAAAAATCAGACTAACAAGTACAGTATAAAAAAAAAATTTTTAGAACATACTTGCTTAATGAAACAACCTTTATTTTTGATCAAAATTTTTAGCTATATATTTGTTTAGATGAATTATGATATATTCAATAAAACTAAAGATTCATGAAGTATCTGTATGTACAAATATTTACAGAAATCTTTTCATAATCAAAATAATTCTGTAATTCCATTAATAACAACATGTTTTCCATTATTCATCTCTTTTGTTACTACATGACCAATTGCGTAGATATTGGTATCAAACCCTCGGTTCTGAAGCAAACTGGGTTCACACTGTTTAAGTAAATTTATAGCATTAATCTTATCATCAGGCGATACAATCAAGACCATTCCTATTCCACAATTAAATGTTCGGAATAACTCGTCTATTTATGACGAGAATATGTTAACGTTAAAAAAATGTATTTAAAAAAACTTTCACATACATAATCAGAGATGTAATGTTTAAAAAACTTAAATATACATACTAGATGGTATATTTCCATTTTTTGCTAGCCACTTGAATACTTCCGGTATTTTCCATGATGTTGAATCTATAATAGCTCCGAGGTGTTCAGGAAAGACTCTTGGTATATTATCCACAAAACCTCCACCCGTTATATGTGCCATTGCTTTTACAAGACCTTTCTTAATCAATGGTAACAATTGCTTGACATAAATTTTTGTTGGTGTAAGTAATTCTTCACCAAGTGTGAGTTTTGAGTTCCACGGACAAGTTGATTCATATCCAAGGTTATATTTATCAATAATTTTTCGAACCAATGAAAAACCATTTGAATGAATGCCTGACGATGGAATACCGATAAGAATGTCTCCAACATTTATATCAGATTTACGTGGGAGTATAGTTCCACGTTCTACCGCCCCAATTGCAAATCCTGCTAAATCATAATCACCTGCACATTAAGTTATTACATCAAATTAGAAAGACGTTGCGATAAATAAGAATATATTACATATATTATTGGGATTATTTCTAACCGCTATTGTAAACTCCAGGCATCTCAGACGTTTCTCCACCAATCAAAGCGCATTTTGATTCTAAACATCCAGTTGCAATACCTTCTATTACGTCTTTTGCAACATCAACATTTAATTTACCGCACGCATAGTAATCAAGGAAAAATAGGGGTTCAGCACCCTGTACAATTAAATCATTGACATTCATGGCGACAAGATCAATACCTAGTTAATTAATAGTATGGTAAATTGTTTAGTTCAAAAATGATTTTTTTTTTTTAAATCCGAATTGCTAAAAAAAGCACGAACCAATAGTGTTATGGATGTTGACAGCCTGTGCAATCTTCAATTTAGTTCCTACACCATCGGTAGTTGCTACCAAAATAGGATCAGTGAACCCTGCAGCTTTCAAATCGAAAACGCCACCAAATCCACCTATTTCACAATCAGAACCGTCACGTAAAGTGCTCTTCACCAATGATTTGATTTTTTGGACGAGCATATTTCCGGAATCAATTGAAACACCAGCAGATGCGTATGTCATTTCTGCAGGCTTTTGAGACAAATATGAGAAAGCACTGAATATATATCAAATGTTGTATTAGAAAGAGAAGATGACATAACACTAACAAATTTTATATCACCTTACCGATGAGCAATATCTTTTCGATAAACCATATTTTCAAATTGAATCACTTTGATACATTCATATGCTTTATTTACAGCATCTCTTAATGTGCGTCCTTCTCCTGTCACTGCAAGCACACGACCACCGGAAGTAACAAGTTGACCGTCATTTATGCTAGTTCCCGCATGAAAAACCAACGTTTCTACATCATAAGCATTATGGTTATTACCAAATTTATATTAATGTATTAATGATATATTACAAGATTAGCAATCATAAAAATTTACCAGAGGGAATATTTTCAATAAAAATTTGTTTTCCTTTCTGATAACTTCCAGGATAACCACCAGAGGCGATGACAACAGCCGCTGCAAAGCTAGGTTTTGTGTTAATTCGAACAGAATCTAATCGCCCTTCAGCGCATGCCTACATTACACAATGTTATAAAATTATATGTGAGATCATGAATTTAACTATATAATTATTCAAATAGTTTTTTAGGTAATATTACTTATATTACCAGCATTATTTCGGCCAAATCAGAATCATCACTTAAAAGTGGTAAAGCAACTTCAGTTTCCGGATCACCAAAACGTACGTTATACTCTAACACCTTTGGACCAGAAGCAGTTATCATTAGTCCAGTAAAAAGCATCCCAACAAATGGGAAGCCTGAAAGATAGTGGTTAAACTTATGTTTTGATAATATTATTTCATTATAAACAAGGAATAGTATGTTTACCATCACGTCTCATGCCATCAATAGTAGGTTTAATAATTGTATTCTTTATCTTTGCGTTAAGTTCTGGCGTTGCAATTGGAGTAGGACAATAACAACCCATTCCACCAGTATTAGGCCCCTAAACACGAAGTAAATCTAAATAAGTAATATTATGAAATAAAATAAAATAACATGATGTAAAAACAACTGTTTGTCACCTGATCACCATCAAAAATGCGCTTGTGATCTTGAGCAGGAGGAAGAGATACAAAAGTGTAACCATCCGAAAAAGTCAAGACACTCAATTCTTGACCTTCAAGAAATTCTTCAATAACAACTTCGTTGCCTAGTAATAAGAAATTTTTATAGATTAAAGTTAATGATGTTAAATTTCATAATATAAAAAAAAAATAAATCTTACCAGCAGATCCAAATGCTTTATCAACCATTATTGTTTTCAATGCATCTAAAGCTTCTTGTTTACTAGTAGGGATTAGGACGCCTTTGCCTCCAGCTAGACCTGAAGCCTTGACAACCATAAATAAACTATGGTGAACATGGAAAGTTAATTAAAATTCTATGAGCAAGCATTTTAAGCATATTCGTACCTTTATGACTACATTATAAGTAACCAATTTTAAAAAATCTTTGGCCTTTTCGTAATCAGAAATTCTACAAGCAAAATAAGATTTAAAAATTATTTAAAAACAAATTACGTAAAATATAAAACATGAAAAATATAATAAAATGGATAACCTCATAATTGGCAGTAGGAATATTATGCTTTTTCATGAAATTTTTGGAAAATGTTTTGGAACCTTCCATGATAGCAGCTTTTGGAGATGGACCAAAACAACGAATCCCAACTATATAATGAAAAGTATAATCATTTAAAATGAAACTATTAAAATTTACCAAAAAAAATCATACTAAACGTACTCTTCCTAAACGCTAGTTCAATGCCTTCTACAAGAGGTTGCTCGGGACCAGGTACGACCAAATTAACCTATATAAAAAGTACACATTAATTAGTTTGTGTTAAGTTCATAAAACATCCAAAGCAGTTGTCTAATATCAACTTACATTATTTGTCAGTGCAAACTGTGTCAAATTGTCAAAGTCATTGACACCAATATTAACATTAGACACTTTATCAATCCCTTTTTCAGTACCTCCATTACCTAAATTAAATATTAAAAGGAATTAATTAACCTGAATTAGTGTTCTGAACAGATCGACCCAAATGACCCAGTCATAATAACTTTGATAGATAGTAATGATCCATATAATAAATTTACTATGACTAGAATAGTGATTAGTTTTTGGTTATTCGAGACAGTCTGTCAACCTGAACAGACGAATTACCTGGGGCTACGAATATATGTTCAACTTTAGGTGATTGAGATAATTTCCAGACGATGGCATGCTCACGACCACCAGAGCCAACGACAAGAATTATAAGTTTTTCTAAATTTATTAAGCCAGATAAACAAAAAAGTATTAAAACTTTGAAAAAACTTTAAGTACGTACCTAAAGACATAGTTTTTTTTAGATGCGAATTTTCAGATAATCATATTCTCCAATAAGACTCCGGGTATTGTAAATACATAGTAAAAAAATTTTTTTTTTTGTTCAACATAAATTTTAATTTTTAGGTTCTCAAAAATATATATATAGTTTGTTTTTTTTGAATGTTCTCAAAATTTTATACATAGCGCTATTTACAAATTTTTATGTTCTCAAATGAGAATTATAATTTTTAAAATATTGTGTTTGAATGCTTTTGTAGACAAATGTCCGTTTTTACTATAAATTGTTTCCGAACTTCAAAATTTTAAAGTATTAAATAGTGAATTATTTAGCATTTACCAAAGATCGAGTATTATCGTTATATTCTAGTCTAATTCGGTCTGGTTCATAAAATACTATTTATTTACTTTGACTTAATTTGTAAATTAGACCAAATTAAGGACGACAATTATTAGAATCGCTATTGGGACTAGTCATTTTATTTTATATTTCGAACTTAAAAAATACAATAATTGATAAAAAAAATACAATAATTGATAAAAAAAATACAATATTTATAGTGTATCTACTTTAGTTATTACTACCACTATGTCGAATAAAAATCCACCAAATTTCCAATTATTATCAATGTAATGAATTGCAACAGCCATCTACTTCGACTTACTATTTAAACCACAATTCCTAAATTATAACAATATCCAACTTGGCCATTGTAACCTAAATAATAACAATATCCAACTTGATAAACTTATCAGCTGACTTCGAATAATGCTCTAAACGCTTTGCGTTTATCTATTCAAAACCATGCCCATAATAAGAGCATACTTAACAAGGAAAAACCATGTCCATAATAGCACATGCATGACAAGGTTCAGTGTAAATATCGAAAGGCACTTGTTATCCATTCCATTAGAAACCTTTCGAAAATTCTTATAATAACAAGATATAACGCACGAATGCTTTTTTCTTATCGATTTCAACCCAACTTGATCTATTTCGTTAGGAATTCTTGCAATAATAAGATAAAATTCTTGTCAGCAATTAGATTCATCTATGTTGCTTAACGCGTTGGAAAAGGTTATAATAAGGGACAAGTTTTTTTAAAACTAAATTTACGAAATGTAATATTATCAATGAATGTAAGGGATAATAAGTCAAAAGTTAACAAGAAAATGTCCGAAGTGAAAAATACGAAAAATATATATCTTGAAACGTGTAACATATAGTCACACTGACTGCAAAGCATCATGGGAACTTTCACGACAAACGTTGCATAAACATGCATTTAAGTTTACTCAAACAAAAAGGTTATGTTAGGGTTAGGATTGCTTTTTTTTGATGCAGATAGTTCTTATTTATATATAATATCAAGAATACAACTTATACAGTATGTAGATCATATATTTAAGAATTCTTCAAGAATATTCCAAATCGATATTCAAATTTTGGGATGATATCTAAATAAATACCTAAAGAAAAGCAGTCTCTTGTGATTTAATACGTATTTTATTAAATTAACTTAGGATTAAAGTTACGTTAGGTTAGGGGATTAAACCTTCCCGACATTTTTTGCTAATGCTTTGTCAGGCTGATCAAATTTTTATAAGTGATTGCACTGTTCGAAATTTAAAATTCAAGCCATAACCTAAATTGATAGCCGCATTTTTATACGTATTATAATTTTTAGTATACATTCATAAAACTATTTCGGCATGGCAAAAGTGTTTCGGCATACGTAAAGGTTTCTGAAACACTCGCCGAAATACTTTTAATCAAGCCAAAATGGTTTTAATGATATGTACATTTACTGACTTAAAGTATTGACCATTAGTTGCGGTTCAGGATTTTTCAAATTCGTGTAATGCAGATCATATCTCTTTTTAATAAAGATCTTCAATTGGAAAATTCTTTTTAATAAAGATCTTTAATTGGAAAATTCTTTTTAATTCTATAGTACGAAATTTGCGCCAATTATTAGCTGTTGTTATTTGGCACACAACTGCCTCGGCTACACATATTCATAGAATAACTTTTGCAATAATATTTTGAAGGTTTTTTTAAAACTGATTATTATTTTTAGATAATAAAAAATACCTTTTTTTAAATAGAAATCGGTTTTAGAATACGTAACCTCTTAGTATATTGCAGATTAGAGGCCTGCGTTGGGTTCCGCAGCCCGGCCCGGCCCGTGCCGAGCTGGGCCGAGCCGGGCCAGGCTGAAGAAAAAATTTAACATATGTGGGCTGGGCCGGGCCTAAAAAAAATTTTTAACCCTAATTGCGGGCCGTGCTGGGCCTCAAAAATAGGTACTTTGCAGGCCCCTATTGCAGATCATTCTTAAATACCTGACTGAATTATATATATTGAATTATTACTATATAAGTTACTAAAATTTTGCTTGCATGTTTCTTTTTTCTAATCATAGCTATGCTGTATATCTTTTATCAGCATTGCACAATAATGATAAAGTTAGCTTCTATATTACCAATCATAGTTTGGTATTGGTGCTATATATTGATATTAGTAAAATTGCTTAAGAAGTTTGAACATATTTAAACATTCAGAAGAGATATTGAATAGAACATGCTCAAATTATAGTTGAGTATAAAAAATTTCAAAATGGTTATTTGTTTTATATTTTCTTAATTTTGTTAATTGTTATTATATTGTATTACTGTATTCGGGTTATTACATAATATAATATCATGTGAATTTTATTGACTTGCACTATCACGTAAGATCTTAAAATGTACTTAAGATATAGGCTCTTAACCTATAACCAAAAATAAACAAATTAAATTTAAATTAGTCATCATGTGCCAACTAACCTTAATTCTAAAAAACTAAAATTGAGACACAAGATAATAACCTCTACTCTGGGTATATTTTAAGGATTTCAATTTATTGTCTATTCGATTACGTGATTTATCATTATACAATTACTTGAACATTCCTATATGATTACATAAGTATTGCTTTAAATTTAATTGGCTAATCTAGAAAAGTTATTAATAATTCTTAGTATAAATTATAAATATTTTTAATAAATTTTTTTATTATAATTAATTTTATTTATAAAAATATAAATTTTATAAAATAGAGTGTAGTAACCTAGTAAAGTGGTCAGGTTGTTAACTCTCCAAGTGGTAGGTTAGATGTTCAAATCTCATCGACAGCAAAAATTTGGATAATTATCTATGTAATATTGATATTATAGCAACTGTTACTAATAATTGGATTAGGATATCTGTAATGATAATTACACCAATATGACTAACAGATCATGAAGTATTTGTGTAAGTATAGCATTACACAAAGAAATGCAAACTGACAAATTAGGTAATGCAAACATTAGATAAGTTTTTGTGGTTATGTAAATCTGTTAAAATTGGGTAACAAGAAGTCTATTTGGAAAGACTCGAATAGAGAGATAGCTGAATTTTTGATAACTCTATTGTAAAGACTAGTCTAGAAAAATAGATATTAAAATTGTAGTATCTGGTTGTAGTAGCCAGACAGACAAGAACCTTTGGGTTGGGAGTCTTGAAAATACTACTAACTAGGTTGTTAGAATGAACTAGAGAAAAAGAATATCAGACTAATCCAATATACCAATGGATTAGTTATAGTCTTATACTAACTATTTGAATTGAAAGTTTGATAAAAAGATAAATAAAAAAGCAGAGATATACTAAAAGTACCAGGATTATGCTATAAAATAAATGCTGGAGTCAAAATAAACTTTACAAAAGCATAGCTGTTTAATGGTCAGCTCTAATTACAAATGTTAGTTTTATTATAGTGATATCTAGATCAGCTATAAAAATAGGTACAGAAGGCTTTAGGTGTTTATCTTAAAAATAAATTAGTTCTAAGGTTAAGATGATAATCTGGGCATCTGAGTATGATTACTAGACTAGCCATGCTATAAAAATATCAAGATCATGTAATTGTAGATCATTTTCTGACTCGATCAGACTCACTTAACTATTAAACTTTCTAATATCTAGTATAAAATTACATTAACTTCTTTGCTTTTTAAAAATATTTTTAAGATTATTGTTATAAACTTTAATATTAAAGATAAGTATTACTTTTCAAGTAATACTTTTATATATCACTTTTATATATCACTTTTAAATTGTTTATTTTTTAGAATAACATATTTTTCTTTTTGTTTTGTAAATATAAGATAAGTTAAGATATACTGATAAGAAATATGATGTAATATTGCTTTTTAAGTATTGTTTATTCTAATGCTAACATATTTTTATTTTTATTTTATAATATAAGATAATTAAAATACACTGATAAGGAGGATAGCAATCTTAGTATAGTAATAAGTTGTTATTCTCCAAGTAGTAGGTTCAATGTTCAATTCCTATTGGCGACAGATTTTGGAAAAATAGATCTATTCTGGCAAACTTATCCATGATCTGGGGTTTGTAGATCCTGTAATTCTGGTTATATCAATACTAACTTTGGAAGTATATAATATCATATGAATAAATCTAGAAAGTATATATTCAGATTAGAAACCAGCTTGGAAATTCTGAGCAGAAAGGTAATACAACTTTCAATGAAGCCACCTATGAAGATCTTGATCTGCTAAAGAAAACCTAAAGCAGGTGATCTATACAGACAAGAACTTCTAGGTAAAGGGTCCACCAACCTGGCCAGTAATTGATCCGAGCATAAAGTCATATCATGCAAAGCTAACTGAATTGGTAGTATAGAAGAACTTGCAAGGGTAGATGAGATAACGATGAGATTGTAAAAGAAGGGTACTGGGGTTGTATGAACTTCACAAGGATTGTAAACTAGGTTTAGCTGTAATTTGGGATACAGAAGACTCTAGTAATAATGTTTTGAGAATAATCTGCATGAAATAAAACAGGGGTCCTAAGGGTATGGGTAAGCATCTAGAACTTCTCGACTGACATTGTGTAATGAAAATGTTCTAGTGATAACAGTAAGGATTGCAGTACAGAGAGTTTAGATAGGCAACACCCATAGTTGGATTGCAGGTATAGCAGCTAGTGTAGAACCTATATATAGGCAAACTACTTAAATTAGACACCAAAAGTATATGTATAGCTAGATGTACTCTCTAATGTAAGGTAGCTTCTCTGAGGCAATCAGACCATGAGTTATCATGTTCTATAATACTGAATAAAAAAGCCCTAGTTCTCAAAAGACTAGTTTAATAATTAAAAAAAAAATATATAGATATACTAATAAGAAAATACTCTATGAAGTTACAGTTTTAAGGTTTAAAAAAAATAAGTATTATTTTATATTGTTAGAACTAACATAAAGTTATTATTCATTTGTGAATATAAGATAATATGACTATATATAAATTTAAGGAACAAGGTTAGTGAGTATCGATATAAAAATTGTTGTATAATTCATTTGAAAAGTCATTAATGTAACTAAAATGCTAAATTTTTGTTTTTTTGTAGTTTCCAGATTTGTTGCTGCTTTTTTGCATTAAGGGCTTCAATGCATGCAATAGTCTCAGCAATGAGAGGTTGCTTAAGTGACTTGTATATTTTAAAAAACTTATTATTATTAATATTTTCATTTATAATTTTTATCAATGCTTTATATATTTTCATATTAGCTCTTAATTCTTCTTTTTTGCTTTTAATAATTGTATATTGATTACTAATAAGCATACTAATGTTAGAATTAAGAACTAGTTCTGGCTTTTTAGCTATTACATTATTATCTTGTAAAGAGATTTTCTAGGTGTTATTTTCTAGATTAATTCTTAAATGATTTATCTCACTAAAAGCAATTAATAGGTAGTTATGACATTGTATTGTGGCAGTAAATTGAGGAAAGAACCCAGAATTTTCTGTTAAATATTTATTTACTAGATGTTTGCATATCAGGTAAGAACTATATATAAAGACAGGGCATAAGCAGACTCAGATATTTATGTCAATGTAATTCTGTTCTTAGTATTTACATCTTTCTTCATGGCATTTTTTCAATTATGTTTGAATAAATTCTACTATGAAGAAAAATCATGATTGTAGCAAAACCTTTATCAAGAATTTTCTATGTCTGACACTAATTCTTTCATTAAAATTTGTGTTAAATGATCAAGATGTGGCTGATTACAGTTATATTTATAATTATACTTAAGCATATGCCAATGCGATTCAACAATTATAGTAGTCCTAGTGATGGGTATGGCTTTTGAATAAGATGCACAAGCAAAAAGCATTCAATTCTTTTTATTATACCAATTTATCTACAAATAGCTCTATAGCTTAAAAAGGTTTTTTCTTAGCAAAATTGATAAATTTCTAAAACACTCTGGTGATAAATTTGCTTAGCTGTAAAAAAAATATTTTTATTAATTGGGATGAGCAAGTGCATTATTGTGTGCCTTTTAACTATACTTAATAATTCTTTTACAAAATCTTTAGAACATAAAGTATTTTGTTGCTCATTAGAAAACTAGAGCAGATCAATAAAAACAAATTGTTGATGTATTTTTGTGCAAAATATTGACTTCCTCTAGGTTTTTTTTCTTTGAGTTTGCATTCAATTGCATGCTTCATATGTCAGAAACAAAGTTGAATTACTGCTATCTAAAATTATGCCTCCTAGGTAACAGCAATTTTATCTAAATCTTTGTAAAGAAGTATGAATGTTGAAAAAATTTCTTCACTATAGAGCTCAATGAAAATTCTCTAAGCATATCACCTCTTGTGTGTACAATATTGTTGAGATTTAAAAGGCATTTTTCTGATGCAGCATGTATATCTATATATAAATATGCAAGTGGAATTCTGTACTACTACAATTAACATTGACTGAAAATAATTCGAACTGCTTTTGATTAGTTTTGAATATAAAATCGATAATAATTTCATTAATATGATCTTTTTGCAAATTTTGAATAAATGGAGTTATAAATCCAAATGAACATATGAAGTCATTCTTATAATATTGAATGACTATGTATTCTATATTTGCTAATTCTCTTTGTTCAAGAAAATTTTTTGCTGATTTCACTTGGTTGACCATGTTAGTTATATACAGCTTTAATGAAAATTTGTGTATCCAATAATACACTTGCTAGTATGTATATATTGATGGGTTAATTAAATTTTCATTATGAAGTCATTTATAAAATTCTACTTCTTATATACTATGACTAATATTCTTTTGTATCCATGTAATAGCATTTACTAGTAGATTCGTTTCTCTGTATATTAAATGCTTATGGGCTATTAAGTGCTATACAGACATTATAGCCTGCTATTCACACAGATCAATTTTGATTATTATAGTATTATTATATAAATAGCATTTAATAACAGATTGTGCTTTGCTTATTCTCTTCACAGGCTGGTCATTTGGAGATTTGTACTTATGATCAAGTTATTGAGTGCAATTTAAATAAGCCATTGCACATCCAATATATTGACTATTTTTTTTATTTATATATAGATTCTTAAGTTTCTAATAATAACCTAATCCTACTTAAAGAGAAATAATTAAAATATTAACAATATTGCAAAACTTTATATCTTCTTTATTGTAGTCTAATTCAGATGATAGTGTTTCATCATTAGCTAACTTTCTTTTAATTTTTACTATTACAGAAAATTCAACAGGATCATTTTTTGCTTCACTATTCTTAAAGTTATTAATTATGAAAGCTTCAAGATCACAACTCATAAAAAAGTAAATCTTCATTATTTTGTTACTATCTATAACTAGAATTTTAGTATTATTGTTATCATTATCATAATTTAAGGTTGAAAGTTAAGAACTTTTAACATTGGCAGATCTGACATTCTGTCTATTTTGTCTATCTATTTTAGTACAAGAATTGCATATAGAAAATATTGCAATATTATTACTATGCAGCCTTGTGAATTTAGATGTTAATTTGGTTATTTATAATAGAAGAAATATTTGCTTTCTTTAATATTGACAACATTTTGAGTATACATTTTTTTTTTTGTATTTTTAAGTTATATTTATTAAGGTCAATTTTTTTGTGTTTTTAAAGTTAAAATTCTAATATAACTATTTATTGAAAAATGAATAACTATATCTATGATATATTATCCCTTAGATTGTAGGCCAACACAGGCAAATTTGCCTGCGTTTTTGCATTTTTTTAGCTTTGATCTACTTTTTTAAATTGTTAAAATATATAAATAAAATTTGGTATAATAATATT